GATTTCAGATGGCCCAAAAATGCCTATAGCAACCAAGTCCAAAGAAATGGCCCAACCGAGTCCCAACAATGCGAAGCCCGTTCTGACTGAGTACGCAAGGTGTACTTAGCTGTACACTGAGCGTACACATAATATGGATTGTACGCCCAGCGTGCTCCTTCATTAAGCCGTTTCTCCCATTAAGCTCTCAATGCACATGTTTAATGGTCCAAAACATAGATCTAAGTCCCAAAGAGTATCTAGAACCATAAAGTCACTGACTTGGTGACTTTGCATGCCCCAAATGAGCCCTAACTCGAAATATAACATTCTACTTCCGTAAAAATGGCCATTTCTCATGCATGGTTGGGTCTATGCTTCAAAGGTGACAACTTTATCAATCTAGGACCAAAGCAACACTAAGATTGGCAACTCTAGTCCACAAGATTTCATCTATGCAACCAAAAAGGGTCCAAAAGCAAAAGCAAGGAGATCTAAGCTACTAAAGATTAAGATCAAGACTTTATACCTTCCACAAGCTAGAAATGGAGCAGATAATCTGGATCTACAAGCTTCTCCTTGAACCACCAGCTTGCTCCAACCTTTTCTTTCATGAAAATGGGACAAAACACACCAAAATGCACGCAAAAGACCTTCCACGCTCAAGAACACTCAACAATGGGGTTATGGTGTCATGGAGGCTAATTAGGGACAAGAGGGAGGCTCATAAAAAAGTGTTGGATAAGGTGTCTAATTCCATAACTATTTCTGGTATGTACTTGACCCGAACCGACATGGTCCATTTGGGTTGCATGGCACCAAGCAATTGGATAGACTAAATGAGAGAAATAATACTTGTGGTTTATTAATATATTATAAGTTCTAATATATTGATAATATTATTTAATTAGTTTGATCAAGAATTAATTTAGAATTAATTAAGTGATCAAAAGATAACTAATTAAATATATGGGTTGATTATGTAAATCATCCATAACTTATATAGTGGGCTAAGAGGCTCCATGGATTATCAAGTTGGGTTCCACCCATAGGATGTTCCATGGTTGCTCCATGGGAGTTACAAACCCATGGGTCATGGAAATGAAGAGTCATGACACATTAGAGTTTACATGGTGTAACCCTAGATGTGTCAACATTATATAAAGAACATATTCTCCACCAAAATCGGCTACACATAAGAAACAAGAGGGCTAGGCCGATTTTAGAAGTGTGTATTCTCTCTAATGTCATTCCAAAAGCATTTGGTGTTGTGTGAAGCATTTAAGGCATCACACTTGGGGTACTAGGCTCACAAGGTTTCAAGGATCATAAGCAACAACAAGGTATGTTATTCTATCTTTCATTCAAGTTAAAAATTGTTCCCCATGTATGCTAGATAGGAATATAACCTTGGAATTCAACTTTGCATGATTATTAGACAAATATAGATCTAAGGTTATTAGGGTTGCATGTACACTTAGGAAGTGTTAGAATGCTCAAAACCCATCAGTGGTATCCGAGCCTAGGCTTGTTTGTTGATTTTTTGTGCAAACTGTTGAAAAAAAAATGTTTTTCTGTTTTCTGCTCGTATGAACTCGCCGAGTCCATGGGGGGACTCGATGATTCCATGAACAAATGCAAGCTACTCGTCGAGTTTCATCTTGCACTCGACGAGTAGAGGCTGCAGTTTTCAGAAATTCGACTTTTGTTGCTGGAAATGGACTAGAAACATTACCCTAAACTGTTTGGGTACTTGAAAACTTGTTTTAGATGGTGTAATGCTTATGCTAATCCATTTGCAATGGAAATTACCAAAATTACAAGTTTTTAAGTTTAATTTTTTATTCTTGAAATGTTCATATTCATGTTCTTGAACTTATGAAGATTAGATGATCATAGGAATTGCTTGTAACCTTCATGGTAGTTTAATTCATAATCATAAAATGTTTTAATGGAGTCCATAACTTGTCCTCAAGGTATGGAAAACCAAAAGTCACACTTTTATTAAAGCCATTAAAAGAACACTAGACTTATAAAAATGAAGAGTCTTCATTTTTTATTACTTAATTAAATTCATAAGTTATAAGAAATGAAAAGTTTTAAAAGTTTACAAAACTTACCCTCAAGTTTTTGAACAAGTAAAGTCTTGATTAAAACTTTAGTTCCAACCCTTAGAATTTTAAAAGTTAAAATTCAACCCTTATACTTTATAATATTATAAGTTACTATATATATATATATATATATATATATATATATATATATATATATATTATATATATATATATATATGTGTGTGTGTGTGTAAGATCAAGTCGTTTTACCGCTAGTACGCCTCATTCACGAAGTCGGTCTATAAGGGGGTATAAGGTTGTTGTCTATAAAATTGCAACTTAATAGGTGTCCACTCTCACCCACCGTTTCCTTAATCGGTGGAGGTTTGTTAGATAAATAGACTAGTTTTAACTTGTCATTGTAAAAAAATTATATAAATAAGTTAAAAGTAAATTCCAATCTATTAATTGGCTATATAGTATATATGGGAAAGCTCGTAGCGTTAAATATTATAACGCAATCCACCGTTAACTTGGTCGAATATATAAATCGATTAAACAGAAGAAAAAGAAGGTACTCCAAATTGCAACCCAATGGAATAGAGACTAGGACCCTATGCATCATGACTTATCATCCATCATCACATCAAATACATGCATGCATGCATGCATAAAGCTTTAAAGAGATAAAAAATGAATGGAGTCGAATGGTATCATCAGATCTACAGACCAAAAGAAGCCATTGGAGACCCCACAATCTCCAGACACAGGTATCACGGACTCAATCTCTTCTCTCTCATCGTCTTCCTCCTCGGGACCTTCAAGCCCTAAATCTTCAACACTTTCTTTTAAAGGTCCAATCTTTAATTATGTAGTAATCATTTTATAAAGGCAACACACTTTTTTTCAAATCAAATGTACAAAAGTAAACATCCCATCGTTTTACTTTCTTTTTACTTCTTTCGACACATATGACCTCCATTTATGTAATAATATAATTTAATTGCATGGATGTGACTAAAATAAAAGACCTTTTCCTTCGCTTTTACTAGATATAAACTTCAACTTTTTTTTCTGCTTTTTAATTAATTAAACCTTGTATTTTAATTTTACTCCATCTCCAGAAATTAATTTGCAAAATATTATTGTTGTCTTCTTCGACAAACAGATATAATGGTTTTTTAAACTGAATTTTATATAATTAATAACTAGAAAAAATTTATTTGTAGTAATTTGTATTAAAAATATAAAGTCAGTATTACAAGTTGAAAAATCTTATGAGTTAGGAATAATTCAAACTTGGAGTAGGGAATGCATATCATTTTTTTTAATAATGCATGGACTATATTTTATATGTAGGATTGGAACACAATATTTGGATTCATACCATATTTCAAAACATTATATAGTTATTTAAATTATATGGGAATAATGTGATGATGACATTTTTAACCTACTACGTGTCAATATCAATAAATTTTGTTATATATTTTAATTTACGTTTTACAAATAGTTTGTGGTAAAATTATGTTACCATGTCACCTCTTCTAGCCGGCAATCTTTACAAGTCATACGATAATTTTATGATGACAAATCCTTTTATGAAAGGAAAATAAAACACTTTAATATACGGCGCGTGACACCTTTATGAAATCTCAATGTCATATATGTCATCTCACCATTTATCATAAAAGTATGGTTTCAAATTACACACAAGGAGTGGTGTCATACTTATGTTTTTTTTAATAAATAAAAACTTTATTATTTTTAAAAATTATAATATTTCATTAATTAAAAATAAAATTATCGATGCATAACTTAAAAAAAAACATAAAAACTTAGAAAACCAAACTATAAATATTAAACCAACAACTTAAAATAACACATATCAAACGATTAAAACATGGGAATAAAAAATTAAAATATTAAAAACGATTAGTCTAACGTTTTTTGACGTCCTCCTTGTTCATCATTAACAGCTTGAAGCTCATCATCGGTCAATTCCGATATATTCTAGTGAGTGTTTTTTGGTTGGTAGACTTTTTGGAAAAAGATGGTAAAATATGAAGTTTTATGAGTTATTTTGATTAAAATGGATGCGTATTTGTAGTGTTAAAAAAATTACATAAAAAATAAAAAATAAAAAATATAATTTTTAAAAATTTGACCGTTCCCAACGGTAAGAAAGAAGTCATCCGATCACAAAGCCCCTCCAACCGTTCCCGTCTGTTGCCGTAGTGCGGCCCTAGCCGCACCCAAACCGCGGTCTAAGGGCGGTGATCCTATCGACGTGGCATAGGTGGTGCGTACAAACTGTGACCATTGCCGGCGTCTAAACAATAGCATCAATTAGATATATATGCAAATGGCCTTACCAATTTGGCATAGCCAATTTTTTAAATTCTGTTTTCTTGAATTTCGTAGTGTAAATTTATGTTAACTTTTTAGGACAGTATTAATTAGTATGTCCATGATCTTGTTTTTTGAATAAACAAATAAAGTAAGTTTCACTTCCCAAGCTATAGCTAGCCTTTCTCTTGTTATGTGCATGTATAGAGACGAGTATAAGAATATTAAATGTTTTGAAAGGTACATGGTGTTGATAATAGGAATTTGAGGTGCGAAAAGCTACAAATGACACACAACTCTACACATTCTGTACAAGCAGCTAACAGCCAATATACACACATGATATATCCATTAATATCTATATATTAATATTTAGAGAGAGAGAGATATGTCCATTAATATCTATATATTAAGAGAGAGAGAGAGAGAGAGAGAGAGAGAGAGAGAGAGAGAGAGAGAGAGAGAGAGGCTAGGGGGGCCCAAGCAGCTAAATCTATGGCTGACCGACTTTGAAAATAAGGGCCAAAGATAAAAGGATAGAAGACGAACAAAGAGTAAGCAAGTTAAGCATTCACAATAAGAGAGAGAGAGAGAGAGAGAGAGAGAGAGAGAGAGAGAGAGAGAGAGAGAGAGAGAGAGAGAGAGAGAGAGAGAGAGAGAGAGAGGTGAAATATTCGATTTAGAGAGGTTTGAAAGCATTGGGGTTTTCTTGTTTTTGGTGTTTTGTTAATGATAAAAACACCAAAAAACACAACAATTTAGTTGTAAGTAAACTCCACCAGATCTCTCTTTCTGTCTGTAACAACACAGTCGTCGACTCTCTTTAGATTATTGTGTATTTTGTTTGTTTTGGTTGATACAGCAAAGCACAGCTTCTTCTTTCAGCAATTTTGTGTTTCAAAGTGAATTGTTTCTTAGCTCTTTTTTGGCACAATCCTACGCATACTTCTCTCGGAAGTTTTGTTTCAACACATATACATATATAAAACCAAAGTCTTTCCTGCGTTTACTTGGTTTTTGTTTTCTAGTTTTGTTTTCAAAATCTTGTTGTTTGTTTACCCAAGTGCTTACTAGCTAGCTGCTAAACTACAACCAAAGCTTTCAATCTTAATCTTAGCTGAAAAGGCAACAAAAACTTTTCCAGATATGATGTCTGGTGAGATGTTTCCTATCACTCATCACCACAATCATCAACCACCACCACCACCTCCACCTCCACTTCATGAAGCATCAAACCCTAACCCTAAAGCCATCTCCAATCTCAAGAAGAAGAGGAATTTACCAGGCACCCCAGGTATATATATATGAATACATCCTCTTTCCACGTGCACACATGTACATGTATATGTTTCAAGATTTCTTGTTTGTTTGTTTTATAACTTGGCATCTTGATTACCGAAAAAAAATGGTCTTTTTTGAGATTTAAAATTTTCTTTTTGATTGGTTCAATCTGAAGATGAATTCGCTCACACTAAAACCTAGTTCTTGAGCAAATTTTCTCATGTTGGAATATGATATTCTTGTAATTATAAGTAGATTACAAGATACTTCAACCGAGCATTGGATCTTTCTTAAAACATGAACTGATTACACAATCATCATCTATGAGACTAATTAAAGGGTTCATTTTAATTTGGAATTTGTGTTTTTATTTTTTATTCCAAAACTATTTCGGAACCATTTCTGGGATTCTAACAATAATCCAATCTATTAATTTGCGAAAAGTAAACATGTTTTGTGTCGTAATAGCTTTCTTTAAGTTTCGATATATTTTGCTTAATTATTCTGATTATATATCTAAACAGATCCAGATGCTGAAGTAATGGCACTTTCGCCAAAATCACTAATGGCGACAAACAGATTTGTATGTGAAATCTGCAACAAAGGTTTCCAAAGAGACCAAAACCTGCAACTTCATCGGAGAGGTCACAATCTGCCATGGAAGCTGAAACAAAGGAACAATAAAGAACCCATCAAGAAGAAAGTCTACATTTGCCCGGAAAAATCTTGTGTCCACCATGATCCGTCGCGAGCACTTGGAGATCTCACCGGAATCAAGAAACATTTTAGCCGGAAACATGGCGAGAAGAAATGGAAGTGTGAAAAGTGTTCCAAGAAGTATGCAGTTCAATCCGACTGGAAAGCTCATTCCAAGACTTGTGGTACCAGAGAGTATAAATGCGATTGTGGAACACTTTTCTCCAGGTGGGTATTTATTATTAATTCCTTCGAATACCAGAATCTTGTTTTTTTATTCCAAACATTGAAATTTAATGCATTTCGACATTAAATGTGACTCATGACTATTAAATGGTCTAACGTTTTGCATGATTTCAATATTCTCTTTGCAGAAAAGATAGTTTCATAACTCATCGAGCTTTTTGCGATGCATTGGCTGAAGAAAGTGTGAGACTCACCACAGTGACACCGAATAGCCTTGGCATGAAAAACGAAGCTATGAACGAATCCGTGATGAACCCTAATTTCCCTCATGGGTTTTCAGGGATGACGCAATTCGGGTCGGGTTTCCGGTCTGATTTTGGGGATCAAAACAATAAGCCAAGATTATCACTTTGGTTAGACCAAGCAAATTCTCAGCTTAATCTTTCTCCAATGGATCAAATGGCTATGAATTCGAATCTTTACATGTCATCAAGCTCCGCAGGTTTAGCGGATATGGTTAATGTCTTTGGTTCCTCTCCAATGACAAATTTTACAAACTCGAACCAAATTCCAAGTTTATCATTGACACCTGAAGGTCTAAAAGAGGAAACCCTAGCTTCGTTATACTCGATGAACCAAACCCATCAAACCGAATCCACTGGTCCAATGTCTGCTACTGCACTCCTTCAAAAAGCGGCTCAAATGGGTTCAACCAGAAGCAACCCATCAATCTTCGGATCGAGTTTTGGGCTCATGAACTCCTCCACTGCATCAAACACTGCAGTCAGTTTGGTGAACAACAACAGCAACAACAACAACAACATCCCTACTTCTCTCCCTCATATCGCAACTCAACCACAAGTTTCGACTCCAATGAACAACAATTCATCCAATTCGAGTCCTCAAGCTCGACAACAAATGATCATGTCAAGAAATGAGACAATGCCGCCATTGAAGATGATGCAGCGAAGCTTTAGTGGAGTCGATAATGGATTAACGAGAGACTTTTTGGGCATGGGAGGAGAAGGTGGCCGGCCATTGATGCCACAAGATCTAGTGAAGTTTGCGTCCTATGGTTCAACGATGGGATCAATGAGGCATTTCGCTAGCAATAATTAATTAAATGTCTTAATTACGCTGGTTAATTAATTTGTATCTCATAATCATGTGTGTTTAATGTAGCATAATAATATGTATTTATAGACTAAATTTTTGTCAATGGTACTTTGCACTTTTATTAAAAAAAGAAAAGAAAAACATTGTTGTTTTTTTTGGTCAATTGACTTGGGATGACAAATAGATGGTAAAAAGCTACTTTTTACTTGCTTTTGCAAGTCAATAAACCATTGAATAAGCTTTATCAGGTTGAGGCTTTTCTTAAATTATTTAAAATGAGAATATTATTTTATTATATTTTATTATAAGATAATATTTATGTAAATCAATCTACGAAGGATTATTTGCAATGATTTTTATATTAAAATGTATAGATATGTTTTTGATACTTTTAGTTTATAGACGTTTATTATTATTATTATTATTATTATTATTATTATTTTTTTTTTTTAAGTGTTTAGATATACACTTTATTTTTTATAATAAAGAATTTTGGAAATGTATCTCATAGGTAATCTTAAAAAAATAGTATATTATACAGAAAGTTGTTGTTTGTAAGAGTCAATGAAAAAAAATTATAAGATGAGATTTCAATCTTAGAATTTCATATATAAATTATAAAAGTATCATATTTATTTTAATCTTAATCTTAGAATTTCATATATAAGTCTTTTAAAGTTTAGAAGGGTTATTTGTAAGTTTTTAGAAAAAGAATATTAATCTACTTTAATAAATAATTTTTTTGTTTGCATGTTATATATTCTTATTTATTTTGTTACATATCAATTTGTAGTTATTTAAATTAATTTTTTTTCTGCATATCATTTTATTATTATTTTTATTTTATTAAATTTCACAGAGCATATTTAAATATTTAAATGTAATAAATTGTAACAAATGTAATAATAAATTAATATCATTTTCATTAATGGAATTATCTTCTAATTTCAAAATTCTTAAATTAAAACCCCATTAGTTTTTTTGTTTATTTATCTAAATCTAAATTATTTTTTCAATTTATAAAAGAAGAAACAATTTAATTTTAATAATTCAATCTTTTTTATATTTTTTTATAAATTCAAACTTCTTAACTATTTAGATCTTTATGGTTAACCTTTTTTTTTTTAAATAAACTTATAGAATAAATAGGTATCACAACTAATATATTTTAATAAAACAGGAACTAGAACGAAAAGGAATGTTGCATTTTGCATCAACGTTGGCAAAAATCAGTACTAGAAAAATCGACAACTTTCAACAGTCATATCCGTCGCTAAACACAATTTCCGACGGAAATCGGTCTGCCGTAAAAAACCATGTGGGTAATTTTTACCGGTGGAATACCAACAGGCTTTGTTACGAATTTCGATAGTTATTTGTTGAACTTGTTTGACCAAATTAACACGCAATAGTGACGGAGTTCCGACGGACACTTTGCGCGATGGATTTCCAATGGACACTTATTAGTAACGTAGTTCCAACGGACACCTTTTGCGTTGGATTTCCAATGGAATACTCAATAACGGATTACCAACAAAATATTTAGTGACGGCTTCCCGATAGAATTGTTATTGAAGGCTTACCAACAGATTCTTCTCTTTTTATTGACGGATTACCAACATATACTCTTACTTTTCGTGACAGACTTTTTTGTCACTACACAGTTTTTTCCACACAAATCAGAAAGTAAACTAAAGTGAATACATAAAAAAATAAAAACAATCATAAAGTGTCACAAAATACAATTACACCACATACTCTTACCGTATTTGTTTAAATGTCCAACAATAAACTAGCTAATATTCCAACATACATAATTAAACATCATACTCCGCATGCAATTATCAATTGTTTGAACATACTAAAAAGTTTCACAAAATACGATTACCAATTGTTTAGTTTAGAAACACAAACTATATTCCTTGTGGTGGATTTGCAGGGAAATTGTTTTGCTTGAAAAAGCTGTCATTTGTGTTTCAAGCACGGCATGTTTTTTTCATATCTCCTCCATTTCCAATTCCCTTTGTGCATCTCTTTGCAACGGACAACCCAAGTCTAGAATATCGTTTACAATCTGCCGGTATTTTCTGACGGATTTCCGACGGAAATTATTGTCATCGCTATTGTTTCAGTATTCCATCACTAAAACTAAGGTTTTTATGTTTGTACATTTCCATCCGAATTACATCATTAATTTCTGACAGAAAAATTTCATCACTAGTTTCCATAAGAAAACACCCTCTTTTCTAGTAGTGAATAGAATGCATGACCGAAAACTTTATTAACTTTTCTTAGGCATTACATTTCAAAATAGTAGTTTTTTATTGTATTTTTTAAATGTAATTACAAATACTATTGTATAGTAAAACTAGAACGTAATAGTATATACTATATAGTAAAAAGACTAAAATAGTGTGTTTGTATTATTCCTCTCAAATAGTTTTGGTCCCGATTGAAATGTAGACATCGAGCAAGTGGGTCCATGTAGAATTATTGTGGGACCCACAAATGTGTTGGAAATGGACTTAACCCAAAATAAAAAAAGAAGTCATTCTCAATCTCACCCATGGGATGCTTTTCTGTATTTATTTTTGTTTTTCCTGGTGTCGTGTGTTGTTTATCTTTTACCAAGACAAATCTTTATTCTATTGTTTATATTTCTTTCTAAAACCTAAAATTAAAAATAAATACAAAGAAATTTGCTTTTCTCTTTCACCCAAAAGTCAAAGTAATTCATGTGGTCAGTTGGTCAACGTTTGTGGGTTCTTTAAAATTCCCTTGTGTTAACTTTTAGGCGTCGACTTGTTTGGGTTAATTGCTTTCGAAATTTTTGGTTAACCAATGTAAAGAAACTTTTTCAAGAATTATTTGTTGTTTTCAATCTCTATTTCAATAATGTTGTCATCTGATAATCTTTTGTAGTTTAACTGTTATTTTCATTTAAATAATGCAACTACACAAGCTAGATATTTCGGACTAGACTCACGAGATTTGTTATTTGTCCTTTTCATTGATGAGAATCTATATTCAACTTTGTAGAAAGATCTACAAAAAAAATACAAACAAAATATTTCAAAATTATTTATATATAAAAGGAGAAAGAAATGACATAAAAATACAGTCTTTTCCAAAAGTGGTTATAATAAATGACAAGATTTATTAATTGCAATAGGACGTGCCCCATTTTGCTCATAGCAAAAACTATGGCGAGTTTAAACCCTTGTGTTGATAAAAGCGATTCTGATCAACATAAGGAGGAGTTTGAAAATCATGGAATTTCGCTTAATGACCTCTTTCATAGAATGGGTTGAAGGCGATAGAACCTTCTTTAGGGAAGATATTTGGTGTAGCAAATTGGCCTCGAAAGAAGTCTACTTGAACTCATATGTGATTGAAGCTAATAAGGATTGAGTGATTGTTGATAGGGTCAAAACAAGGGATGATATGTTTTATAGAATTATTGAATTTGGACATGAAAACTAAGAAGGGGATGAGAGACAAACGAGTTATTGGATCTTGTTAATTTAAATGGCGTTGGACAAATCATTGGAGAGGGTTATGGAATCTTTTAAATGGGTGCGATGGATTCCTTTGAATCATGATTCTTTGTATGATGTGTGTTCAAGAAAGGAGCTCTCATGTTCTCCAATCTCTCAAAGTCTCTCAATACATGGAATCAATGTTCCCTCCACGTTGTGCCTACTATGTCAATCTAATGAGGAAAAATTGGATCATATTTTTTTGCATATTATTTTGCCTATGACGTATGGAAATGGCTTGGATCATGATCTTCGACTTTTCATGTGCAATCATATTCTTATTTGGTGTTGATGGATATGTAAAAGATGAGCTCAATAGGGAAAAGGAGGGGAAAACTTTGGAAGGCAAAGAATTCTTGCGTCTTCAAGAAGAAGAAGGGCAGCCATGCATTCTTCGAATGAGATTCTTATTTGCACGTTCAGTTGGATTAAGAAAAGGGATAATTTACATTCTATAGATCGGTTGAAATGGTGTATATGTTCTCTTTTAAATTGTTTTCTGTAATTTTCTACTTTATTTGCTCGCTAGAATGCTTTTGTGCTTAAAGATATGCATATTGTTCTAAAAAAAAAAAAAAACCTTGGTGGTCATATACGAGCGCGCAAATTATGAAATAACTACCAGTTCATTTTACATTTTGGTCAAGCTAAACAATTTATATTATTGTTAACAATGGTGAAGAGATTTTGTTGCTAAATTAGCAATTGATCTGCGATAAAGTATCAATGGACTATCCAAAAAATATCGTTTAATAAATCAAAAATGATTTAAAATACGTAGCGGTGGATTTTGCGATAGATTTTGTTCTCCCATGAATATTGTGGTTTGTTTTATAAGAAACAATGTATCATCGACGGAATGGCAATAAATAATGGTCAAAGGCTAAAGTATTAGTATGTTAGTGAAAATCTCAATTGGTTATACCCTTCATTGTCCTATGTCTTATAGTATAATAAGCGAACTTTCGTGTGTCGTGGGAAAATATAATGATTTAATTAAAATAATAATTTTTAACCAACTGTAATCCGATCTTCATATATGAAAAACCAATCTTGGTAAAAAAACAAAACTTATAGTTAATTAATTAAGTTTTTTAACATAGTCTCATATCAATGGTTATTTTAAAACTTACTTATATACTACTAATAGCTACGATATGTATAAATAAAAGGAAAATAAAAGACATTACACATTAACAAAAAAATTAAAAAAAATAAAAAATAAAAAAGCCTCTTGAATGTATTAATTAATTACTTTAAAATTATAATTATAATTAAACTTAAATTAAAAAAACTTTTGAATTGTAATGAGAGTTTCAAATTAATTTGATATATATATATATATATATATATATATATATATATATATATATATATATATATATAGTAGACGAATCTCACACATTGTGCAGCGTACGATAAAAATATATTGTTAAAATGTTGAAAAATATATGTTTAAAATGGTTATGGTATTGACATTAACTTTGATATAATATTTTGAATAATATTATTCATTGAAATCAACCCACATTCCTCATTAATAAAATTAAATATAATTATCTATTTAATATTATTTTTAACAATTATTATGATTGATTAATTTAAATTTTTACTTATGCAATTATTTTCTAAT